TTACTTAGTTAACTCTTATCTTATTTATGTTTTTATTTTTTTATTTATTTTTCTTTCTTTCATTATGTTTAACTACGTTCATTATGTCAAGGTGAAAAGGTTACACTAATGGTATAAGAATAAGTATAATGTAAACTCAATATGGACTTTAATGTTTGATACTAACATGTTTTGTATTTGTTATCTTATTCACTCTTTAATACTTTGCTTGTTAAATGACTAATCTTGATTTATGTTGTATAACACTTGGTACAACAAATGCTTGACACTTTTATAGTTCATACTGTATGGTATAACCGATACCTGAGCTATGAAAGGAATTTGATTTGTTGTTAACATAAGTTACAATCATGAATGCTTGACAAGATTTACAAGTATTAGAATTAATCGAATAAGATGACTAATGTAATCATGTTAACAATCTATAATTTAATTGGAACCTCCTTTGTGTGTGGTTTCCAATTGAATAATAAGAGCTTATACTATACTTGTTTAACATACCATTAGTGGAACCTCTAACCTTGACATTTGTTATTATCTTTGTTTAATCCTTACATTAATATTCCATCTCAAAGTTCTCATCTTTTTCTTCTCCTTCTCCTTTTTTTCTTTATTATTATTATTATTATTATTACTACTACTACTACTACTACTACTACTACTACATTATTATTATTATTATTATTATTATTATTATTTGATTTTATTTTTTAATTAGCATTAACAAATCTTTATCAATTTATTTATTAATATATTTTTAAAACTATTTCATTAAGCTTAAACAACATCTTTACGTTTCTCAATTAAAAAAGTCATGATATAATAAAATACATATGCAATATTAAAATATTATTTTACTATGTAAAAAACTAACTTGAGATTCTAACCACGACATAGTATTGATAACTTATTTATTTATTTATTAATTCATATGATTCTCAATTTATTTCATTAAATATATCTATCATCTTTTTTATTTACAATAAAAATTTTTATATGATATTTGAAAACATATTAAAAACACTTGTATATTTTATTTTCTTTGCATTATAAAAAATCTTGATTCAACTCAAGGCAAAAGATAAGTCAATTTACTAGTAATTTTATAAAATAAAAACTTTAGGTTCATATCAAAGAATCTTCCCTACAAATGTTTTCTCCATCTCATGTTCATATCAAAGAAACTTTCCTACATCTAATAGAAAAATCAAAATATTATAAAAGAATGAAAGTGAGACATGTACGACAAAACTTTTTTTTTTTGGGATAAAACATACACTTAACTATCGAATTTAATATAGTATTGAAGTGATTCTTACTCAAATTTATGAAACCCACCAATTGACAACACTAATAAGACGAATTGCAAGTGAGGGCCGGGGAAGAAACCATCCATACCTAATAAGTGTGTGTGTGTCTATATATATAAACTAACAAATCTATGTAAAAAATGAAGCTAGAATCAACTATCAAATTTAATATTACAAGTATTTTGTATCTATCACAAGGTTTGAAAAGTCCGAGAAGGAAAAGGAAAGAAAAAGAAAACGAAGTGTGTTTTTGAAAAAATCCGTCACATCAAGCTTATATAAGAATAAGATTCCAAGGTGCAAATGTAAAAAAGTAAACAAGCAGAACAAAATAATCTCTTGATCACCAGATTAAATTAAGAGAGTTTTCACGCTATGGCTTTCTTGTTGTACAAGAAATTAGTTCTACTTTGGTGGGCTTGGCCTCAATCATTCTCACACCATGCCTTTATATTATAGTTTTAAACCGTTTACGAGGACAAAGCACACTTTCAAGGACAAATTAAAGAACTAAATTACCTTGATCTATAATCATACGTGCTCCTGGTTAATTAGAGCTTCTACGAAAGTGGATGGTACTATATATTTATTAATGTCTCTCTTGTGTAGTTTAGTCAAATGGTGTGATTGTTGACTGCTTCCTCCTTATAACCTTAACAAACAACAAAGATAACGTGAAACTAGCTAAAACATAAAAAGAAATGTTCAATAAATACAAGGAAGAAGAAGGCATGAGGTTCTTCTCTAATTAAGCTACCCCGCTGTTTTTGCCTATGTAATATTTGGCTTTGGCGTGGCTGAAGTTTCTTCCTTCTTCTCCCCCTTCCCTCCCCTCCCTCTCTCCCTCTCTATCTTTCCTTGTGTGTGTGTGAGAGAGTACCTATAATTTTCTTGGCTTGTAGGTAAGTAGCTTGTTTGTTGTTGGATAAGAGTGATTTGGAAGCAATTTAAGAAATGGGGAGAGCTCCATGTTGTGACAAAGCAAACGTGAAAAGAGGACCGTGGTCTCCCGAGGAAGATGCCACTCTCAAAAGCTACCTTGAGACTCATCGTGGCACTGGTGGTAACTGGATTGCTTTGCCTCAAAAAGCTGGTACTCTTCCGATCCCTCACTCTGATCTTCTTCCTTTCTCTCAGACAAACAAGCGCGCAAACGTATAAATGTTGAGATTCTCTTCATTCCTTTTCACTTAGACCAATCTTAGATGATACCAACTGACTATAACTGGTCTTTGCTATTCATCTTAATTACTAAACATCAGTCTCACTAAATACATCAAAATATAATAAGTCTTGCTTTTAAAATTAAAATCCTTGTTTTTCAGTATTAATTTTTTGTCATTCTGACTGTTAACAATTAATTATGTCCACCCTTTGCCCCTCTTTTTTTTTTTTTTGTTTTTTACTCTAACATTTTCAGCCCTAGCCCATCCGGGGACAAAAAAGCTTTTCCAGTACTGATTTCGTTTCTTGAACCTATGTACTGTGGCTGTGTAAGAAAAGTAGACTATGGTTTGACTCCTTGCATAGTAGTGATCTTGGTTCTAGCTAGGTTCCAGGGTATTACTCGTATATTCGTACATTATTCAAGGTATATAGCAGCTTTTCCTAGTTTTGGAAAGTCCAATTATCAGTGCCATTTCCTTTCCTTTCCTTTTATTTATTTATTTATTTATAGTTAATTGGTGTTTAGCGCCTAATATTTTAGATTAAGCAATAATGAAATTAATTCTACAACTTTGCATATGTTTGATTTGTACACGGGAAATGCACCAATTTGTATGCTATATTTTTCGTCAAATTTCTTGCTTTGTTTAGCCAACTAATTACAAGTTTTACCCCACAATTTCCTAGATCTAGTTAAGGAGCTAAAGCTTAATATATGATCTTATCGGTCGCAGGCCTCAAGCGATGCGGCAAGAGCTGCCGATTACGATGGCTTAATTATCTGAGGCCAGACATCAAACATGGAGGTTTTACTGAAGAGGAAGACAATATCATATGCGCTCTCTATAGTCAAATGGGAAGCAGGCAAGTTTTAGTCTACTTTGTTTCTTATTTTTGGTCGATGTTTTATTCGATTCTTCATAATTATGTATTGTACGCTTTTTTTTTCCCTTCTGTTTTTTTACTGTAAGGGATTTGTTTGTATTTGGCATGCAACCATTTGAGTCTTAATTTATCAATTATAAGCTCTAACCTTTGTCTTGTTGTAGATGGTCCCTCATTGCTTCTCAACTGCCTGGAAGAACCGATAATGATGTGAAGAACTACTGGAACACCAAATTGAAAAGGAAGATCCTTGCAGGAAAAATAAACATCTCAATCCGGAACAAATCCATCAACGCCCCAACTACCATTGCCAATATTCTCACCTCTCCTGTTCTTTATGGCCCTAAAGCTGAAACCGAAAGTACTATCACCTTCTCCGATTATTCATTAACTCAAAGTTCAGGAACATTGCCGACCTTATCTGATATCGGTTACGGACCTTTTATCAACAGTACTCGTCAGAACTTGAGTCCAGACCAATTCCAATTTTCTAATTTCCCTGGGGTCATGGATATGTCTGAATTTGGTGCAACTTCAATGAACAGTAGTCACATTGTTTCGCCATCTCAAGAATGTTCGAGCATTTCAGATTCCTCCTCGCTTGCTATGGATAACAAGGGTCTCCCATTGCCTAGTAATGGTGGTCTTGAGGGTGCTGGGCTGTTAATGGATTCTGAATTTGGTTTGCCTGGTGATTTTTTCCATGGGCTTTTGTTTCAAGACGAAGCAAGTGAAGCGGCTGCTAATTGCTCCCAATATTTTGCTGACTTTGGCTATGTTGATATGAAGCCACAAGAACTCACTAACCAATATTGATTGACAAAGGCGGCCAGAAATGGAGAGAGACACAAGTACAGCTAGCTAGCTAGGGGTTTCACTTTCGCATGGACGATTCATTAATTTGAACCCAGGCGTCTATCACCTACAAGTAACTGATCAAGTCTGGAAATTAGGATTTAATTAGGCAAGGCAAATCATTTGTTCTTTGAATTAGGACCTTGTAATTTGTTTCACTATCTGGCAACAGATAGGAACATGATCAGTGTAATATTGCAGCAACAATTTAAGCGAGAGCCAGTGTTTTTTTTACTATCAATAACTCTCTTTCTCGTCAGTTAAGGTGCCTTGAATTGTCAACTCTGGGGGTTTTCACGTTATGGTTTTACTCTCTCAAAGGGGAGGGTGTCACATGAATGCGAGTGATGGCATCAGCATGTATGCCTGTTTCTGGGTGGCCAGTCAGTCTCACGAAACTTGCATGGAGCTCTGGCCTATTCAAAGCTCCATGTATTGAAAACGTCTCCTTCAAACACTAACAACAAAAGATTCTTTCATGAGCTCCATGCCTGTAAATTTCCTGTTGATAGTTATTATAGTGTTGCGTCATCTTTCATTTACAATTTATATATATATATATATATATATATATATAGAATTGTGGTTATAGTTATTTTTTAAAGTAGTAAAACCATAATAATAATAATAATTAATAAAATAAATCAAGAGAAGCCATCCAGTGCAATTGTGCATAATCTTTTCGTATAGGTGGAAAAAAGACCTAAATGGGATTCAAATTGATTAAATGCATTCAAACTGAATGCGGTCACTGTAGCATATGGACAATGAATCAGTAGCAATAGCTAAACATGTTTTTTTTTTAAATTTTATTTTTAAATTTTATTATTTAATATTTTGTTAATTTTAAATTGATCATTATAATTTTAAATTGCTTTCTAAAAAATTATTATAGTTTTAAATAAACATTATAATATTTGGTTGGTGCTCAATTCTTGTAAGCATTTATTTTTATTATCATATTATTAAATAAAAAAATAAATTTAAAAATAAATTTTTAAGCCCAATAGTGTCTATGATCTGAGTAACGGGTTTTGCGAGTTAAGCCACAAATCTCGAGCTAACTTAATATATCATTGTCTCAATATTAAAAAAAAAGATGTTATTGATTAGTAGTTAAAAGTATATTTTTATCAAGGTTTTATATTATCATTTTGCATTTGAAGTATCAATAACTCCTTAACTAAAACATGTTTTATAATAACACTTCTAAAACTATAAGATATCTTTAATTTATGGTAAAAGTTCATTTTAAATGAAGGTCTATCACATAAATGAAAGAATTAATTAATGAGTTTAACTACTGAAATTGAAAAGATAAAAAGAGAGCTAAACTTAGAAAAAAAATACTAGTTCAGTCCAAACTGGAATACTATTTGATTATGGATCATAACTGGAGCTGTTGACATGACCAAAAGATTGATGTCTTCTTCCAAGTGTAGGAATGTTGAAGTAATAAATAACCCGGCAAGATCCAGATCGAATTATAGAGAGATTAACTATAACAACAACAACAACAACAAAAACAACAACAAGAAGAAGTTAAAGAGGACTTTAAAATATAAGATTAATGTGAAGATTAAATAATAAAAATAAATATCAAGGTTAGAGGATCCACTAATGGTATTTTAAACAAGTACAATATAAACTCTTTTTATTACTTGACACAACCAACAGATTGATATTTTCTCCCAAGTGCAGGAGTGTTGAAGTAATAAATAACCCGACAAAACTAGGATCGAACCATAGATAGGTTAATTATATAAATTATAAATAACAATAATACAACAACAACAACAAAGAGAGCTTTAAGATGTGATATTGATATAAAGATTAAACAATGATAAAAATAATTGTCAATGTTAGAGGATCCACTAATGGTATTACAAACAAGTATAGTATAAACTCATGTTACTCAACTGGAAATCACACACAAAGGAGGTTCCAATTAGATTATAAATTGTTAACATAATTACATTAGTTATCTTATTTGAATAACGCTAATACTTGTAAATGTTGTCTGATATTCATGATTATAACTTATGTTAACAACAAATCAAGTTCCTTTTATAGCACAGATATCGGTTATACCATACGGTTTGTGCTATGGAAGTGCCAAGCATTTGTTGTACTAAGGTTATATAACATAAATCTAAATTAATCATTTAGCAAGTAAAGTATTAAAAGTGAATAAGATAACAAATACAAAACATGTTAATATCAAACACTAAAGTCTATATTGAGTTTATACTATACTTATTCTTACACCATTAGTGAAACTTTTTCACCTTGACATGATAAACTTAGCTAAACATAATAATAAAAAAATATAAATAGACAAGATAACAACTGATTAATACTTAAAAGTGCATTTTTATCAAGGTTTTATATCATCATTTTGCACTTGAAGTATCAATAACTCCTTAACTAAAACATGTTTTATAATAATATATCTAATAATATAAGATGCCTTTAATTTATGGTAAATGTTTATTTTAAATGCAGGTCTATCATATAAATGAAAGGATTGATTGATGAATTTAAGAACTGAAATTGAAAGGACAAAGAGATGGTCAAACTTAGAAAAGAGATGTCGGTGCAATCCAAACCAGAACACTGTTCGGTCATTGGGTCATATATGGAGCTATAGATCTTAGATTTATGTCTACTTTATATAGATGGAAAGGTAAGACATAGGCCTACAACTTTCATATGGAGCCCAAGTCTTAAAAAGGCCATTTTCAAATCCAAATTATAGCAACAACAAAGAAGTTTGAATCTCTCTTCTAGCCCGAGCACTGTTCAGTGTTTGACCCATATCTGGAGATAATTTTCTACAACTTTTATGTTTTCAAGTAGTTCCAATTTTGACGTTATCAATGACGTTTTGGGTAGATAAGAGAAGATAAGGATTGTCACCAAGTCAAGAGTTGGCCACCCATTCATCAAATTAATAGTTCCCAATTTTGGCCTATAAAAGGAGGTATTTGCCATGCATTTAGGCATCTTGGTTTCCAGATCAAGATCAAGATCATGCTCTTGCTTTCTCTCTTTGTATTTCTTGTAATGTTTATGCTTTGCTTTCATTAATATCAAGTTTATGCCTTTCATTTCCTTTCCTTTACTTAGTTAACTCTTATTTTATTTATGTTCTTATTTTGTTTATTTATTTTTCTTTCTTTTATTATGTTTAGCTAAGTTTATTATGTCAAGGTGAAAAATTTACATTAATCGTGTAAGAATAAGTATAATGTAAACTCAATATGGACTTTAATGTTTGATACTAACATGTTTTATATTTGTAATCTTGTTCACTCTTTAATACTTTGCTTGTTAAATGACTAATCTTGATTTATCTTGTATAACACTTGGTACAACAAATGCTTGACACTTTCATAGTTCATACTGTATGGTATAATCGACACCTGAGCTATAAAAGGAACTTGATTTGTTTTAACATAAGTTATAATCATGAATGCTTGACGAGATTTACAAGTATTAGCATTAATCGAATAAGATGACTAATGTAATCATGTTAACAATATATCGAATAAGATGACTAATATAATCATGTTAACAATCTATAATCTGATTGGAACCTCCTTTGTGTGTGGTTTCCAATTGAATAATAAGAGTTTATACTATACTTGTTTGACATACCATTAGTGAAATCTCTAACCTTGACGTTTGCCATTATCATTGTTTAATCCTTACATTAATATTCTATCTCGAAGTTCTCATCTTCTTCTTCTTCTTCTCCTTCTTTTTTTTTTACTACTACTACTACTACTAGTATTATTATTATTATTATATTGTTGTTGTTGTTGTTGTTGTTGTTGTTGTTGTTGTTATTATTGTTGTTATCTATAATTTATAGATTTAACCTCCTTGTGGTTCAACCCCGGTTTTGTCGTGTTATCTATAAGTTTTTGGTGTCGTTACCGGGGAGGTAAGTTTTGTATAAATTATAGTATTTATTTTATTTTCTCTTTTCACTTTTCTTGTATATAACTTTGTTTCTTTTCTTTTGTATCTTCTTCGTTTGTTTTCTTTTTTCTTTTATTTTATTCCTACACGTGCATGAGAGTGTGGTCATGTACATTAAGTGGTAGAATTTGTAGGGTATCCTCATCATTTTCAGAAAATATGGCCGAAGAAGATAATCAATCACTTCATAATGAGAATAATGAAAATAACCGTGCTAGAACACTAAGAGACCACATGAATCCCACAAGAACAAGTGCACCATCATGCATTGTCTTTCCTCCTAATGCATCTCATTTTAATTTTAAACTAGGCATTATTCAACTTTTACCTTCTTTTTATGGCTTAGAATTGGAAAATCCATACTTGCATTTAAGGGAATTTGAGGAGGTTTGTAATACATATAATGATTCAAATTGTAGTATGAACACCATTAGATTAAAGCTTTTTCCTTTTTCATTAAAAGATAAAGCTAAAACATGGCTGCAAAATTTGAGACCAGGATCCATTCGTGCTTGGGATGAAATGCAACAACATTTTTTAAAGATTTTTTTCCCATCTCACAGAACAAACTCTTTCAAAAGACAAATCACCACTTTCACTCAAAAACCAGGAGAAACATTTTACCAATGTTGGGATAGGTATCGAGACTTACTTAACACTTGCCCTCATTATGGTTTTGAAACATAGAGATTGGTTTCACATTTTTATAATGGGTTAACACCTAGAGATAGGCAAATGGTTGAATTGATGTGTAATAGAACTTTTGAAGATAAAGACCCTGATGAAGCAATGAAGTACTTAGATTTGTTAGCTGAAAATGTTCAAAATTGGGACACTGTGGGTACTTATGAGGCACCGAGTAAAACTCAACCTTATACATTTAGCGGAGATATGTACAACCTTAGGGAAGATCATGACCTCCAAGCTAAATTTGCATCTTTAGCTAGAAAAGTCGAGACACTAGAATTGAAAAAGAGTGGTCAATTAAAATCTGTTGAAAATATTATGTGTCAAATATGTGAGACAAATGAACAATCAACCAGTAACTGTCCAACCTTGCCTTCTTTTAAGGAATGTCTCTATGAACAAGCCCATGCTTTAAATAGTTTCCAAAGGGCCAACTACAACACATACTCCCAAACATACAACCCTGGTTGGAGATATCATCCAAATTTCAGTTGGAAGAGTGATAATAACAATGTACAAACTTCACAATCACCGTTTCAAGCACGCCATAATT